CATGTCCTTCTTGTCAGCCTAAGGAAGTCAGTCTCAAATGTCTTGGCCTCAGAACCCCTTCACATACAAAAACTATTGTCGACCCAAACAGCTTTTGTGTATCTACCAATATTTATTGTATTAGAGACTAAAACAGAATATTAACAATATTTAGTAACTTATTTAAAAATAGTGGTTTGGGGATAATTGGATATCCATATGCAGAAGAATTAAACTAGACATGTATCTCTCACCATGTACTAAAATAAACTCAAGATGGATTAAAGACTTAAGTATGAGACCTGAAATTGTAAAATTACTAAGGGAGACCGTAGGTGAAACACTTCAGCAACTAGGTCTGGGCACAGACTTTATGAACATGAGTCTGAAAGCACAAGCAACAAAACAAAAAATAAACAAATGGGACTATATCAAACTGAAAAGCTTCTGCACAGCAAAGGAAACAAACAACAGAGTGAAACGACAACCTACAGCGTGGGAGAAAATTTTTGCTAACTGTGCATCTGACAAGGGATTAATGTCCAGAGTATACAAGGAGCTCCAGCATTTACACAGTAAAAAAGCAAATAACCCAATTAAATGGGCAAAGGAGCTGAATAGACATTTTTCAAAGGAAGATTTACAAATGGCCAACAGGTACATGAAAAAGCGCTCAACATTCAATAGTCATCAGAGAAATGCAAATTAAAACCACATTGAGATGTCACCTTACCCCAGTTAGACTGGCTATAATCAAAAAGACAGTGAATAACATGCTGGCGAGGGTATGGAGAGAAGGAAACACTCCTACACTGTTGGTGGGACTGTAAATTAGTACATCCACTATGGAAAACAGTATGGAGGTTTCTCAAACAACTACAGATTGATCTTCCATACAATCCAGCCATCCCACTTCTAGGTATATACCCAAAGGAATGGAAATCATCATGTCAAAGGGATACCTGCACTCCCATGTTCGTTACAGCTGTGTTTACAATAGCCAAGATATGGAACCAACCTAAATGTCCATCAGTGAATGATTGAATGAGGAAACTGTGGTATATATCACCATGGAATACTACTCTGCCATAAAAGAGAATGAAATTTTCCCATTTGCAACAACATGGATGAGCTTGGAGAAACTTATGTTGAGTGAAATAAGCAAAACACAGATGGATAAATACTGCATGTCCTCACTCATAAGTGGGAGCTAAGGGAGAAAGAAGGAAGGAAAGAAAGACCACAGTGGTGTGTTGGACTTGCAGAGGGAGAGAACATACCTAGGGATACAGAGTGGAGTGGGGAAAGGGGAGCGGGAGGGAGGTTGAGGATAATTGGGTGGGAGACACGGGGTATAATCGCAATTTGTAGTAATGGGCATGCTGCCAGTATGGATCTGGCCCTCACATCTTGGGCATGAGTGCTGACAGCTTTGTATCATGAATATTCATAACCAATAGAAAAAGTAATGAGAAAAAAAATCATATGTTAGCAGAAATAGCATGTTATGAAAAAATTATTATAAAACTAAAATTAATGGGAAGAATGGCATTGCTATACATTTTTAAAAATTTCTTTAATGTCTGAGAGTAAAAAAAGCAGATGATGTCTTGGTATGATTATAAAAATGGTTTTGACCTTTCAGATAAGCTGATAGTCTTGAGGACCCCCCACCCCCACCCCAAGGGTCCCCAGATCACACTTGGAGACCCTCTGAATATGTACTACTTTTTAAGGCCACCCAGCAGACCACCTCCCTAACACACACACATGTGTGCATACATATACATGCACATGTGCACACACATGGACACAAGTTTCCAAGGTACCTAGTTACTGCCTAGGCTCCACAAAATCCAAAATCCAAGATTAGTACAATGTTTCATTCTATGAAATACTCTACTTGAAGCAAGTTTTAAATGAACATAAAGAAGGTAGCTAAGTATTTCTTGAGTGAATAAATGTTAAATATTTCTGTAACGTGTCCCCAGTATGCTAGTTAATCAGCTTAGACATCTTTGTATCCAACCATTTAGAATCTGTAATTATTTCCAAATAAGTTAATATTTGGAAGCTGATATTTCCAATTTAAGGATATGCTGTGAAGGGGGTAGGTCAATGGGGAAAGGGGAAATATCTGTTAAAGGGTATGAAAGTTTCAGACAGGAAGAATAAGTTCTAGTGATCTAGTTCTATAGTCCCCCAGAGCAGGGGGACTATGGTTAATAATTATGTATTGTATATTTCAAAAATGCTAAAAGTGGATTTTAAATGTTGTCATAAAATAATGACAAGTATGTGAGGTGATGGATATGTTAATTAGCCTGATTTGATCATTTCACAGTGTATACATGTATCAAAACATCGCATTGTATCCCATAAATATATACAGTTATTCTTTGTCAATTAGAAAAGAAAAGGATAGCAGTGGATAGTGGTTAAGATCATGGATTCTGGACCCAGAAAGTTTAGTCTGCGTCCCAGCCCTAATACTTAGAGGGATTATGGATAAATTACTGTACCCCTCTCAGCCTCAGTTTCCTCATCTGTAAAATGAGGATAATAGTAGTGAAGGCTCACGATCCCTTAAATTTATTCCCAAAATTCAAATACCTCTGCCTATGGAAGAATTATTTATAACTCACTGTATAGCAAAATCTAACATGCACTTATTTTGCAGCAAAAGCTGACCTGAATGGACATCAGGCTCCTTTCATTTATTGTACCTGATAAGACTATTCATGTGTTTTGCTGCAGAAATGTAGTATGTTTGATGATGGAGTGTTGCTCTACACCTTGCTTGGTCTGTATATTATGAATGTTTCATAGTAAACTGTAGATGCACTGCATTCCAAAACACATCTGTCCCAAGGACTTTGGACAAGAGCTTGAGGACAGTTATGACTGCGTCAGGATTAAATGTGTTAATGTATACATACAAGGTCTAGAGCAGTGGCTGGCACCCAGGACCATATAAGGTTTTGTTAAACAAATAGGGTAGTTTTTCCAAGGTATCATAGTACTAGTGGAATAGGAAAGAAAGCACTTATTTTACTAACATCTTCATAAAAATGAAAGATTGACTTTTGTTTTATTTTTTCCTCTTGATTTGGGCTGTGGGGAAAAAACGGCAAGCTGCTATTTCCCTAATTTGTGTTGGGGAAGATAGTAACATAGGTGGAGGGAAGAGTTTATTAGCTTTGTGTATCTTTCTTGTTTATTAGTAGATTGTGGGAATTGACGGCACATAAGAGTCATTCCATTCACCTTTTGTGTGCCTGGCACTGCTGGATCCTAAGTATACATCAGATGAGCCCAAGTCTTTGTCCTGAAGTCACTCAGTGTCTAGTGGGTGAGAACCAATTGACCTAGGTGTGGGATCAAATACTCAGCTTAAAAGAATCAACCAAGGGCCGGCCCGGTGGCGCACTGGAGAGTGTGCCGCTTGGGAGCGCGGCGGCACTCCCGCCAAGGGTTCGGATCCCATGTGGAGACTGGTTCCCGCTCACTGGCTGAGCGTGGTGCGGGCACAACACCAAGGGTTGTGATCCCGTTGCCGGTCCCCGGTGCAGGCGCAACACTGAGGGTTGCGATCCCGTTACCGGTCAGTAAAAAAGACAAAAAGGAAAAAAAAAAAAAAGAATCAACCAAGTAATGCCCTCTAATTAGGACTGCCAGATAAAATACAGGACTCCCAGTTACATTTGAGTTTCAGGTAAACAATGAATAGCACTTTAGTATAATTATGTTCCAAATATTGTATGGGGCATACTTAAACTAAATGCAGTATTTGTCACATGGAATATTTGGGACATATTTATAACTAAAACTAGTAATTTATTGTTTATCTGAAATTCATAATTTACTGGGCATTTGGTATTTTTATTTGCTAAATTTGTCAACCCTACTTATACTCCTAGGCTCTTTTCAGTCATGCTCATATTGGGAAATTGAGTTTTTTAAAAAGGCTATTTGCAAAGGTATAACAGGGCTAAGGGAAAACAACTGGGGATGATGACACACGCAGGGGGGCTGCCCGACAGGAGTTCAGGACCCACCGTGGAGAAAACTGGCAGAGACAAAACACACCTTCACCTGCTCCCACCCAGCCTCCTCTGCTCCTGCCTGCAGTCTCCTGAGGTGCTCCCTCCCAGGGACAAGTCAGAAGACAGGGACCGCCTGGCGAGCACTCAAGGTGAGGCAGCCAGCATTATGACACCTCCTTGTCACAACAGCAATAAGTCAGGCAGAAAGGGGAGGGGGAGAAGAAGGAAAAGGAAGAAAGTGACAGGCTGAAATGTGAAGGTTAAGGGAAATAAAAGCAAATCAGCACTACCAATGATTCTAATCAATAGTAATTTTTCTTCTGCTAGATACTGATTTTTTTTTCCCTCTTTGGAATAACCACCACAGTTTCTCGTGGCAACTTAATGGATAGATTGCATGGCCCTGAGGATGAACTAGGCTGTGTGCTTTCGGTGCCTCACGTGCCTCACCCTGCCCCAGCCCTGGAGACCTGCACCCTCTGTCAGTGGGGAGAGCACAGTCCCTGTGAGCTCAAGCCCTGGGGAGCTGCTCTGCCTCACCAGAGTCTTTCCCCCGTTCATGCAAGGGGGAGAGCATCCATGAGTGTTCATAGTGTCCAAACAAATCCTCCAACTGGAGAGCCAATGAAAGTGGTTTGTGATACCAGGATACTCATTAGCCATCTGGTGAAGAGTGAAATGACAAGGATCTTTGAACTGCTGGGCTACCTCTGGACTGTGGATCCTTCATCGGGCTCTTCAAACATATGCCAGCTAGCCACCTGGAGAGTGGGCTCCTGAAAGGATGGGGCAGTTCAGGAGCTGACCGGATGTGCAACAGGGTGTAGATGAAAATCAGTTTACATACTCTAGACATGGCATTGGAAGTATTTAAAAGTACATTTCAGGCTCTCCGACCCCGGGATTAAGTGTCTGTTCTTGTCTGTGATTGGCACCATGGGCTGATGTACGTCCTTTCTCCTGTCGCAATTACAGTTTCCCAGGCAAGGCTTGCAGCAGACCCAGCAGCAGCAGCAGACGGCTGCCCTGGTGCGGCAGCTCCAGAAGCAGCTTTCTAGTAAGTACTGTGTCTGCCGTGGGGAGACAGCTCCCAGGAAACTAAACACGGGCAGGCAAGCCAAACACAAGCGGTAGATCTCAAAACGGCCCTGTTTTCCTCCACACCATTTTCTTAGTCCAGAATGGTTTAGTTCAAATGTTTTTATTTGTCTTGGTTTGGTTTGGTTTTGGCTTGAATGCTTCATTTCCTGGAAAAACCCCAATCTTTTTCTTAAATCGAGTGAAGATGTTTTTCTGTTGCTTCCATCATAACCTGGAAATGTTTCTTTTCATTTGGACGACCCTGAACAGCCTCAGGTACCCTTTTTTTTTATAACACTGGAGGATTCAGGGAGCTACTCAGCGGATGCTGTTAAGTATACAGGCGAATGAGGTTAGGACGGCCTCCCAAAGGTCTCAGATAGAGGGAGGCCAGGATCAGCCTGTGGCTCCTACCACTGCACCATCCTACCCTTCCTGATAATGCTTCCGAGAAACCAAAACCTGTCATATCACAGACAGCATGGCAAGGCAGTGTTTTCTCCCCAGCAATCTTGCATGCTGTGGTGGTGTGATTCTTTTAGATGGTGCTACCTCTCTAGAGCACACACCAACAGCTCATTTCATCCTACCTCATCTCGGTGCCAGCAGTGTGCTCTCATGAATCAAACCAGCCCTGTGCTGGAGTCACAGGACAGGAAATCCTTTTAGAAATGGGAGCAAGACCCTTGTGATGCAAAGAAGATTGGCCCGGGAGTCAGGAGACCTAAATCCTGGTGCTAACTTGGCCACCATTATCTGGCTCATGTAGTTTTTCTAGCCATGTGGTAAGGAGTGAGACCAGCAGTTTCTTCTGGGTCTTGAATTACATGCTTGTGGAGTACAGAGTGAGGACCGATTGTGGCCAAGGCAGTGGTGCATGTCTGTCTGGCAGCCTGCTGATATTGTAAGGAAATAGGTCATTAAATGACTGAGGGGCAGCTTGGTTGTAGTCTTAATCTTCTGTCTGGCTGCCGTGCCTGTTGATTTCCTGGCAGAGGGAATGCCCCTTTCACACCTCGGTGTCCCTGCTAGTGCATACCGAAGATCTTTTTTTTGTTGTTCCCTTAAAAATACTTCCCTTTTATGGCCTCATTTAATTTCAGTTAAATCAAGCAAAACAATCTTCTTTTCTAGCTACTGTTTAATAGGTTTGGTCTATTTGTAATTAAAATTTCATTGTATTTTATTAATTCCGGAGTTCATTTTCTTTCAGAGAATATAATCTTAAGGCAGAGACATTTTTCCTAGTGTTTAAAGATAGGTAACTATGATTTTTTTATATAGCACCTGTTTGGGGGAACACATCTACTCTTATTTCCTGCTTTCCAGAGGTCAAGGGAGGCAGCTTTTTTTTTTTTTTAAAGCCATCCTTTATGGAGCACTTTCTTAGCCCCAGGCACTATGACTTTACATGTATTAATTTACTTAATTCTTTCTTTTTTTTTTTTTGTCTTTTGTCTTTTTCCGTGTCCGGCAACGGATCGCAACCCTCAGTGTTGCCCCCGTACCGGACCGGGGACCGGCAACGGGATCGCAACCCTCGGTGTTGCTCCCGCGCCTCGCTCAGCCAGTGAGCGGGAACCGGTCTGCATGTGGGATCTGAACCCTCGGCGGGAGCGTCGCCGCGCCTCCCAAGCGGCGCACTATCCAGTGCGCCACCGGGCCGGCCCCTAATTTACTTAATTCTTAAGCCACCCTATGAGATTAGGTATTATTACTGTTTCAGTATTGTAGATGAGGAAACAATTGAAGGACAGGGATATTGATAAATTTTCCCAAGTTTATTCAGGTAACAGTAGGGGACAGAGCTGGGACTTGAACTCAGATAGTTTCCTTCCAGAGCCCACCTCTTAACCACAACATGCAGTTTGCCCTCCATATCTGTGGGTTCCATTTAGCCAACCATGGATCGAATATATTAAAAAACAAACAAACAAAAAACCCCAAAACAATAAAAATAACAATATACCAATAAGAAATAATACAGCATAACAACTATTTACATAGCATTTACACTGTATTAGGTATTATAAGTAATCTAGAGATGATTTAAAGTATATGGGAGGATGTGCATAGGTTACATGCAAATATGATGCCATTTTATATAAGGAATTTGAGCCTCTGTGGAGTTTGGAATCCTGGGGTGGATGTACTGGAACCCCTGCAGACAGTGAGGGCTCACTGTACTCTACTGCCTGATATTAGCAGTTAGGCCAAACTCCTTTGTTGAAGAGTGGCAGCTAAGCTGCACTGTCCTCTGCACAACTCCAGAGGGCTCCTGTTGTATCGTGGCCCATGTGAATGAGGCTTCTGGATTTGAATAATCCAGAGTTCTGCAACCACTAGCTGTTTCTAAGCCTGTCATTTTTTGGTATGTATTGACTGTTTATTTTTCTGTGTGTGTGTACACGTGATTATGCATGCATACATGCACAGGCACACGCGGACACCCACAGCGTCCACTCTTGCACATACCTTCCCCCTTGCACAGTTCTATTGTATATATCTTATGGCCATTTGTAGAAAATTGCCCAATTCCAAGCTAATTTTCTCTCACCCATTGTAATGTCAGTGTTAAGGCAGAATTGCTGATTTGCACTTATAAACATTTTGAGAATTTTTAGTTTTTGTGAGACTTTTAGTCTTTTTGTATGTTGATGTTGAATTTAGTTCAGAGGGAAACACTTTAGGTGAGCCAGTTACCTTAATCCTGAGGCTTTGCCGTGGCAGATAGGGGACTCTTATGTAGAGTTGGCCCCTCTGCGGAATGAAGTTAGTGGGGAATTTGGATCCCGCCATTAGGGTCTTTCAGGTCACATCAGTCTATTCCTCTATACGTGAGGCTGGTACTGAGAGCGGTGACAAGAGGATAGCATCTATCTGTGACACAATTTTGCATCTGTAATTTTATTAGAATTTACTTTTCTCATTAGGTAATCAGCCACAGCAAGGAGTGACTCCGTATGGGCATCCTTCACACTTCTGAATCTAGAAGAGGAAAAGACATGAAGTTTGATGTCTGCACTGAAAAATAGAAAATTGAATTTAATTTCATTCGCCATCCTTAGACATGCCCCTTTGTGCTTTCATTTCTTTGACATTTTACTATATTTTATGCTACATTTCACACAAAGGTGTTTAAACAAAAAGCGAAGGAGAAGTTGTAGTTTGATTTTGTCTCGTTCCACTTTAAAGTAGGTTTAAAAATGTGGATCATGCAGGCCTACTCCAGGAAGAGTGTGGTAGCGGACCTTTTGAAACTGGTGCTTTTTTTGAATCTCATATTTACAGGAAGAATGAATTATGGTGGATTTAAGATGTTTATGTATTTAATAATAGTGAATTTTTGTTTTGTTTTTTCCCTGTGCTGGACCAAACTACTGATTTGAAAAGTGTGTGAGATCTTGACGGGAAAGACCCGTTTATATTGCATTCACCTGCAGTGGTGAAATGGACATTTATTTGCATCACTCTAGTTTGAAATGTTTGTAATTTCATAAGCACTTTATGAAGTTTGTTCTTATTTATGTAGAACTTTGCTTTGCTTTTGTTGTGGTCAAAAGATGCTGAAACAGATTGTTGCTTAGTACTTAAAATTCTTAAACCAAGAACTTAATTAAACCAAGGCTTCTGTGAGAGCCACACTAGGATGTGTGGAAGCCTCTTAGAAGTAGCTGTACTTGAATTTGAGGGTACAAATGTAAATTCTAAAGGCCTGAGAGAACCACAGTGGAATCATTTCAAGTATTTATTGTCTGTTTTGGTAAAAATGACTCTGTCCCATTTTGGTTCTCCTGAACTTTATGTCACCTTGAAGAAAAAAAAAAATTTGCAACTGGCCTGAGATTCCACAGTGCTCAGACTTGACATGGTTTCCAGAGAATCTGGACCCAAAGTCCAGAAGGCTCTGGTTTTCATAAAAGGTGTATTTGCTGTTTATTTTGTATGGTAAGTATTTGCTATTTTGAATTTAATTATTAATGTTGGTGTTAGTCTTGGTCATGTATTGCATACACTGTATTTATAAATTGGTGCAAAAAGCACAAGTAAATTATACATCAAATTTATTATAAAGAAATAGTAACTATTTTAACTTTGTTCAAGTATGTGGTAATTTGCTCCTATTAGAGTAAAAAAAATACAGTAAATTATTATCAGTTTGTGTAACTTAAGAGTATTCCATATAATATTTTTTTAGATATAGATGCATAAAATTTTGAATGTGAAAATTGCAGGGCATTTTAAAACATATGTGGGGATATTTTCCCATGTTCTGTGTTAATTCATTTTCGTTTGCCATATGATTTTACATGTAATGTAGTCAAGCATACTGTGAATAGATTTGTTTATAATGAACAAACCATGTAGAACTACTTTTTTATTAAATGTAGCTAGTACGACTTTAGTAGACAATTTCTTTTGGAAATCATTATATAAATAATTTGTATCTTCCTAGGTGAATTACTCATTGCAAAGTTTGACTCATGCAAATGACCTCAATACATGTCAGCTTACTTTGCTGTGGCAACATCCATGTGAACTGCTTTGTACACTGTGAAAATATTTCCCTCCAGCCTGCTCATTTTGTGTTTACTCTGGGCTGGAAAAGACTTTGCCAAAACATTAAAGACCATTCTTTTCACTAAATTAACATAGTCTATCTCCTTTCAGAAGATGTAAATACATTTCAGCTGGTTTTGTATACTAGGTTTTTTTTTTCTCACCTTGAGAATTATAATTAGAGTTCTTGAAGTTATTTTTCTTCAAAGTAATATATCCATATAATGATTTCATTGGCAAAATAACCGAAATGTGAATGTTCTGCCTAGTGAGTAAGTCGTGTCCCGTCCTTCTTGTCGTTTTATTTCTCTTTAAGAATTACTGCTATTTAAAATGCCGGTTTTCAGTTTGAATCATATATTTTTGTAGCTCAATATTGTAAACAGCAGTAATACTTTTTTTAAGAATGATTGTTATAACTGTGTAGCATTTGTATGCACTTTATATTTTGCAGAATTTAGTTAAATTATTAATCGTTTTGCACATGAAAGCTGTGGAGGATATACCTTTGTTGCTGAGATTTTATTTTTCAGTTGAGCCCTGTAATTCAAAGATTCTATGGAAAGTTGAGGAAAAACCTAGAGCTGTTTGTCCCCTGTGCATTATAAAGAAAGCAACTGGAATTTTTATTTTAGTCACATTTTCTTCCACTTAATCCTCTATCCTGAGAGGTTTCTGTTTTGTTTTATTTTTCTCTTTTCTAGCAAATGCATTCATTTGCATTAGAATGATCAAAAGGGAAAGCCCTCTGGCAGAACCTGGTAATTTGCTTGTTGAGATAGAGAGGAAATGAGAATAAGATGGATACACCAGCTCCTCTTAAAGATAAGACCTTGAAATCTCATGGAGTTGGGTATACCTATCACAATTTTTGTACCTAAGAAGCCCTTAGACATCACCTGTTTACACTGTAAGCTCATTCCTAAAAAGGGTGCATTTGTCATTCTATTTACCCATCTTGGCCCAGAAGTCAAGGGAGATCGCACTACAATCAGTATCATCTGACCATAGCCACAGGGCAGCACCATCAGTGGTTAGTAGCATTCAGGTCACCTCTTAGGTGGTGCCACCTGAAAGTGGATATGATGAAAACACAGTGAAGGGAGCTCTCTTGTAGATAGCAAATGATTGGCAGGGGCTAACACAGCTCTCAGTTTTGTCTCCTGAGATATCTGAACAGATCTATATGACATTTTTTTTCTTTTTCTTTTTTCCATTTAAAAGGCTCCTATAGTTCTTAAATAATAGGCAAGTATTTGAATAGATGCTAGAGAAATAAAACTGGAAAATCCCAGCCTCTACAATTAGAAAAGGTGAATGATACAATGTCCCCCAAATTAATGCAGGTTGAATTAAGAATGTAATATAAATAAATTCAGTGAATTATGAAAAGCAACATTTATGTAGGGTTGATCAGGTTTTAAATACAGTGAAACTTCATTATATGTAATAGATCGAGACCCTGTCAAACATTTTCCTACTGCATAAAGAATTACCACTTAGTGAAATAAAAAGCTCACAATGATTCCTCCTCAGAAAACTTTAAACAACTCCAAAACCAGGGGTGCCTGCGCTAGATTTTAAAATTATAAAGAAGTTTCATTGTATGTTTTAAAACCTTTTTAATGGGTGTATTTGGACAAAGATTAATCAACCCCCTTTTCAAATTTTATGATGTGCAGGTGTTAAGTTACTTTTTACATGTGGAAAAGTTAGCCTGCATTTATTTTTAAATGCAGTTATTAAAACATTTTTGTATTCCCCATCAGTGAAAATTTTCAGTGTGAACAAATGGTGAATCATAATAAAAACAGTTTAGTGCTTATTTTCTGTAGGTTTTAGCAAAATATTTGTAAACCAACCACAAAATATTTATACATCAAGATGGCAAATTTACATAAAGACTGCAAATTCAATCTTTTCTCATTGTCTCTGTTCTGAGAGCCATGCTTGTAACATTGGTAGAAAATGGACACTAGGCAACTGGTAGTAAAAGAAAAAGAAGTCCATTCTTTACTGAAAAATTCAGGTACATTAGCCATTTGTTATTTTATGGTGGCCCTTTTTCTCTTAATGTTCTTTGTTATTTGTTGGCAAAATAAAAGTGCCTTAAGTTAAAAGTTTGTTTTGAGATCCATTAAACAAATCAGTATCAGTTCATAATGCACTTATTTACAAGTAAGTCCTTTTTTTTTTTTTTTGCATGTTCATTGTAAATTTAATATTGTAAATGTATTCAAATTAATTTACATGCCTATGGCTGCCTTTGATTAAACTTCTTCCAAAAAATAAACTCTGTCCAGATGTTCGATTTCATTTTAACTTTATTTCATGTCAGATTATTTGAATATAAGTTGTTGCATAATCACTGCCAAGTGGGTTCCTTGCTGTGCACTTGTATATCCCAGAATCGGAGGTCTGGGGGTTTTGAATGACTAGGGTGCCCCGGGGGGAAAGCAGCTCACTTTGCATTCTGCTTATACTTGCCACCGAGAGCAGGGAGTGGTCAGGCATTTCCCATGTGATTTCTGGCTTGGGAATTCCCAGGGCCACACAGCGGAGCTGAAAGGCCGCTCCTGTTCTTGTCAGGATGCTCCTGGGTGGGCGACTTGTAATTCGAGGAGGGTAGGCTACAATCGCTACTGGAACAGTAATCAGTGCGTGGCCAACGCTGTTTTGAGCTTTACAGATATAGTTTCCTCTGTCATAGGCTGTTGCTTCTTTGATGACTAAGGTGCCATTTTCATGCAATATGTATTTTCCATTAGTTTGAGGCCTATTCATTACATAACCACTTGGCATAGTCCATTTGATATTTGGCTTAGGAATTCCATCAGATACACATTGCAGTGACAGAGATTCTCCACTGATCCTTCTTACTGTCCCTGGCGCGTATGTAAGAATAACTGGCTTCTGGCCAATTTCTAATACGATTAATTTCTCAATATAGCCAACTGTGTTTCTAGCTGCACAGCGATATTTCCCTGCATCGTCCCGAGTTGTTTTATGAATGACAAAAGAACCATTTCTTGCTATCAGGTACTGAGAATTTTGTGGTCCACTAGAAAATCGTGTGCCATTTGGTAAAATCCACATTATTTCAGGTGGAGGGTTACCATCAACAGAGCAATTCAATGCTGTGGACTTTCCAAGCTGGGCAACTATTTTTTCATTAAATGGATTTCTGAATTTTGGTCTTCTCAGCATTTCCAGTACTTCTAATTGAACCACCAAAATGCTCTGTCCTCCTTCGTTCCGAGCCACACAGATAAACTCAGCTGAATCTGAAAGCCTCACATTCCTAATTTCCAAGGTGCCATTTTTATGGACTGTGATTCTGCTTCCATGGTATGGGGCTGTAAGGAAAATATTGTCTGGCATGATCCACATGATTTGAGGAGATGGTGTCCCTTCAGCTCTGCAGTCAAAGTGTTTTTTGGAGTGCCTCACGGCTGTGGCTTTGATAACAGTTTTGTTTGTGTACAGACCATTGATTAATGGAGGTTTGGAGACAACATCCAGTTTGTACATTTTGGTGTCATCCCCACTGGGATTTCGGGCTACGCACATATACTCTCCAGAATCGAGCAGTTTTACTCTGTTGATGGACAAAGACCCATTGGCATGAAATGTGTACCTATCATTGGAGAATGAAATCATGTCATTGGAAGGCAGCAACCAAAATATTTTTGGTTTGGGTTCCCCGGTGACCTCACAGTCAAGGATGGCTGTGTCTCCAACTTTGGTTCTTGTGTTGGTATCGTGACCGCGTCTTATCCGTGGCACAGCTGTTACAACTGTTAGGTGGATCTTCATTTCATCCTTCCCTAGGGTGTTCTGGGCATAGCAAGTATAATCTCCTTCCTCTGCTATACCAACTTTGTTGAAATATAAGGTCCCATTGTTGAAAAGGGTGTACCTCCTGCTCCTGTGGCCACTGTCATCGGCTTGCATTGCATTGTTTATCATCGTCCCATCGGGCAAACTCCAGGATATCTCGGGCACCGGGGAGCCAGAAGCTTTGCAGTCAACTTGGAAATCTTTCCCATGGAGCACTTGTTTTGTAAAATCCTGCTTGTGGTCAATTTTGGCAGGTTTCAGTCTCAGGCTGACATGCATCAGTATCAGATTGTCCCCCATTCTGTTCCTTGCCACACACAAGTAGGCACCACCATCTTTTTCTGTTACTGATCCAATAAACAGGGATCCATTTGGGTAGACATGGACTCGGCTGCCTATTCTAAGAAGAAAAGAAACTAATTTGAGTGTACAGCTGTTAGCAGTGGAGGACGTTGTCTTATTTACATGGGATTAGCACTCTTCCCCCCCTTAATCGAGTCATGACTAACCAAAATGTATATTTAAAGTGTACAGTGTGATGGTTTAATATACATGTACATTGTGGAGTGATCACAATCAAGCTAATCAGCATATGCATCACTTCACACACAGGTTTTTTTTTTTTTTTTTTTTTGTACTTACAATTAGCTTTAAACTTGCAATGAAAATTATAATCAGTACTAGTTTATTATCTTCTAAGCCATTTGCTGAAAGACGAAATTAACTGAACAGGTATAATTTAGTGTAAACAAGTAGTATTTCTCAGATGAACTTCAAATGAACCTCCTTTACATGGTAATTTTTAAAAAAAATCATTTTAATGATGAGTGGAATGCTGTAAATATTGGATTCCTAGACACCATGACTCATTGACCAGTTTACATATCAAATAAACTAATAGGTCCACAAAAATTATCATTTTGTGATACCAGTACGGAAGAAAATAACTTTAATAAAAATTAACTTTCTCAGAAAAGATGCCAGGCTGATACTTTTAAAAAAGGTATTAGTGACAAAACAGTTATTGAATTATTCCGTTGGAAAATGAGTTCTACTTTATTGTAAAGAGAAAGAATGCCAACATAAGACCTATTAGAAGCTTGCTGCAGCGTCTGCCCTCTGGGCAGCTGTGAAGTGGCTCCTTGGTGTCCGCATTAGGTTGAGCTGTGTGGAACACCATTTTTCTCCCTCAAGAGTGCAGCCACTGCGCAGCCTGCTGTTACTATACTTAAACACCAGATGGCATATCTTTCCAGGTAAAAGTTAGTCTAGTTTTTCAGAATGACCAGTGGATATTGCATTGGTGCTGAAGCTGTGATGTTCAAGG